TCACTGCAAATTCACACATCAGCAGTAAAATTAATCAAACTTGAATAGGAAGAATTTGAGTAAAAATATTGACTACTTCTCATTTTAATCTTCAGTTTAAGCATGATTTCCACTCCATATTATAATCAGAGGTTAGTTCTAACATTTCCTTGGTAATTTTGCATGCTTAAAGTTTAGCCCAGTCTTTGAAAACCCTCTCCAGCTTCTGGCCGAGCAGAACTTTGCCGCTCACTTTGAACTTGCCAGCAAGAAAAGCCTTCTGTGGGTTCACTTTACCCAAAACCAGCTCCATAAAGACAGGCTCTGGGATTGTGAAGACTGTGTCTGCTGGGAGCCTGGCAGATCCCAAATACATGTCCCCAGAACCATTCTTCAGGTCAATGGTCCACTGCAGGATGGTCTTCCCATCTTTGGTGATGTCCAGCTGGAAGATGGCATTGACTTTCTTTACAAGTTGAGCTCCCGTTTCTCTGATGTGATGGCTAATGTCCTCGAATACTGAGAAGCTCTGGAGTTCTGCTAACTCTAGAGGCTGTGGCATGGCAGGTTCCTGAGCTGAGCCCAGTGTCTTTAACTGGCCCGCCTGCGGTCCATTCCCTGCTTTGATCTTGGGTTGATGGTCAGTTCTCTTCCACATCGTACGATGCTGGTCCTCTTGACCTTGCCGTCTGGTCTGCAAGCAGCTGTGGCCAGATCAGTACCCACAGGTCAGATTGTGACATCAGAGGTAAGGCCAAGCAGGCATGGAGACGTGTATGTGTGCTGCCATCTTATTGGCTAGACAAATACTAAATGTGATGTGGGGGTAGGACTCAGACAATTGTGAGGTAATTAGGAAGCAGGTCCGTATGTGCATCCCCAAACCAGTGAGGGCTGTTGGTCTCAGAAGCTCAAAATGTTTGAACTCTGAAATAAGGATAAGGGAAACAGGCTCCAGAAGATTCTCGGGTAACATGGGTTCTATCTTTCCCAAGTGGCATCTCTCAGTAGCAACCTTAACTGAAAGAGCAGTTATTCTGACTCCTCTAAAATGAATAACCTTAAGTCACAGATCCTGATGTTAGATCTGACTTTACCTAGCTGATACTGAGCAAAATAACTTTGTGAGCAAAACAACTAATTGGAGGAACCAGCACCAGGGACCTTCAGAAACTTCAGAAACACAGTGAAAAGAGAAAGAAAACTATATAATCAGCAGAAGATGCTGTTGATCTCATACGATGATTGCAAGCCATCGGGTCAAGGACTTGAACTGCAGTCTGCCATGTGGGCGTCCAGTGCCTTAACCACCATGCCACCTGCTGGCCCAGTGTCTGCATTTTTTTTAACAATGATTTCTCTGCTCACCAAATTTAGGGCATGCTTAACTCTACATTATAAGAGGATCTACACAATCACCCACATACCTGCCACATTCTTGTTCATTTGAAAACAAAAGCAATCTCATAAGTTGTCTTCAGAATAAAGTTTAGAATTAATAAATACACGCGCACGCACACACACACACACACGCACACACACACACACTGGGAATATCATGATACAAACTAAGAAGGAACACTTAACATTTTCAAGTAAAACATATTTTGCTTTTTGCCTTACTTTTCTCTCCTTATTGATAGACTTTATTCTTTCTCTTTTTTTTTCCCCCATGAAATAAACAGAAGGGGAGATAGGCAGAGAAACAGATGCCCCCAACAAAGTCTTCATGCCACAATCCATCCCCTGTCTCGCCAGCCCATATCACAGATGGACACATGTGCATCTACTGTGTACATGGGGGCCCTGGGATGCAAACCTGGGACCTTTCCCATGTGAGTCTAGGTTCATAACCACTGTGCTACCTTTTGGCTCTACTAGACTTCATTCTTTTTCTTTCTTTTTTTACTTTGAAAGGGATTTTTTTGCTATCTGGTGTGCCAGAGAGACAGAAAGCAAGAAATCATCCCCAAGGGGGTTAGCTACAACTCAAACCCTTCTCCTCTCTTCTCTCAGGACTCTAGGCAAACAGGCACTCACACTTGGCAAGTTTCAAGCCACTGGATCCAGGATTCAAACTGCGGTCGACCAAGAGGGAATCCAGTGATGTATGTAACCATTACGACGTCATTTGCTGGTCCCTAGACTTCATTCTCTTTTTTTTTTTTTTTTTTTTTTTTTTTTTTGATTGTGGCATGGCCATCCCTTTGGGGCGTGATTTCTTGCTTTCTGTCTCTCTGGTGAGCACACGCACCTTGTAGTAAAACATGTCCTTCAGTCAGTGAATAAACTGACACACACCCATATGAAGGAACATTATTCAGTGGTAAAAAGAAATGAACTATCAAGCTATGAAAAGATACAGAGGAACTTTAAATGCATGTTACTAAGTGAAAGAGATCAGCCTGAAAAGATTGTATGCTGCATGATTTAATTATATGACATTTTGGAAAGAGCAAACCTGCAGAGACTGTCCAAAAGATCAGATTAGTGGTTGTTGGGTTTAGGGAGAAGGAGGGATGAACAGGCAGAGCACAGAGGATTTTCACGGCTGCAAAGCTATTCTGTACTATTTTATACATGTCATTATGCACTTGGCAAAAACCCATAGAATGTACATGGTGGTTAAGTGACTGGATTCCCAGATGGCTGACTGTGGTTCAAGTCCTGGACCTGGTGACTTGCTTTCTCACTTTCACTCTCTCTTTCTGTCTCTCTCTGGTATGTGCATAAGTCCTACAGAAAATTAAATAATAATAATAATAACAACATCAAATAAAATTACATAAATAGTTCTTAAAAAAACACACATAGAATGTACAGCACCAAGAGTGAATTCTAATGTAAATTATAAACTTCAGTGAAAAATAAATACCAGTATTGGTTCATTAGTTGTAACAAATGTGCCACCCCAATGGAAGATGTTAATAGAAATTAAGCAAGGGTGGTGGGACAAGGCGAGAGTATTTAGGAATTCTTATCTTCTGTCAAATTTTTCTGTAAACCTAAAATTGCTCTAATGAATGAAGTCTAGGGGATCAGAAGTTAGCATAATGGCTATGTCACTGAACTCCCATGTAGTCGACCGTGGTTCAAGTCCAAGACCCGGTGGCTTAAACTCACATGGGGCGCATGTGTGTGTGTGCCCAAGATCCCGAGAGGAGAATGGAGGAGAAGGGATTGCGACATCGCCATCCCCCCTGGGGGGTGATTTCTCGCTTTCTGTCTCTCTGTCTCTCTCTGTCTTTCTGACGAGCATACACTCCCTATAGCAAAAACCTTTCCAAATAAATAAATAAATAAATAAAGTTAAATACATAATTTTTAAAAAAGACTTTTTTTTTCCCCATCCATGGTTCCAGTCCTGGACCCAGTGGCTCAGAACTCATGCCAGCATGTGTGCATGCATGCCCAAAGTCACAAGAGGAGAATGGAGGAGAAGGGATTGTAATGTGGCCATTCCCTTGGGGGTGATTACTCACTTTCTCTCTCTCTGTCTCTGCCTATTTCTCTCTCTCTCTCTCTCTCTGACAAACAAAACTGCTCTGGGGACCAGCAGTTAGCATAATGGCTATATCGCTGGACTCCCATGTAGTCGACCACGGTTCGAGTCCCGGACCCAGTGGCTTAAAACTCACGCCGGGCCTGTGTGTGTGTGCATGCCCAAGATCCTGAGAATAGAACGAAGAAGGGATTGCAACGTGGCCATCTGCCCTGGGGGGTGATTTCTCGCTTTCTGTCTCTCTGACTCTGTCTGGCGAGCGCATGCGCCCTATAGCAAAAACTTCTTCGAAAAAGAAAAGAAGTAAAAAATAAATAAATAAAAAGAAATGATGAATAAAGCACCTATAATCATTCCATGTGAAAAATCTTGTGTGGATAAGAGTTTATGCTCTTTTTACAGAGTTATTTGTAAATGATCAAGTATGTAATGGTTGGACCAATTATTATTGCTCACATTTATTAAACAGTAACCATCTCCCAGCCACTTTAGTAAATCCTTTCATCTTTGTAATATTCTAAGGCAGTTACTAATATTGCTCCCATTCCATACATGAGGAAGTTGACAGGCTGGATAACTTGTCCAAAGACAGATGGCTAATAATTTTAGACCCAAGAGTTCATGGGTTTGAACACTTTAAATGCATAATTTTTGTTTCATGCAATATTTTTTATTGTTGAATCATCATTAAGACGTGGTATTATCTACTTAAAGATTTAAAAAAAAAAAGTTGTCTCCTTCATGAGCTTCTATTTTTTAGGAACCACTATGAGTGAGCTTGAAGCACATAGGAAAGTACTCAACCTCATTGGTCATTAGGGAAATGTGAATTAAAACTACAGTGAGATCTACTTCTTCTACCCTAGAATGGCTAAATTGGAAAGACTGGCAATGACAAATGTTGGTGAAGGTGTAGGATGTCTGGAACACTTGTGCACGTCCAGAGAGAGTGCAAATTGCTACTGCTACTATAGTGAGTATGTGGCAGTGTTGTATAAAAGTAAACAAACACCTACCATACAATTAATTTGTTATACTCCTAAGTATACTAGCAAAATAAAAGTGTATGCCTACAGAAAGACACACAATGAATGTTAACAGCATTATTTATTGAAGTAAAATGTTAGAGATGATCCAAATATTTTCTTATGCTGGTGGTCTTCTGTTCATCCACAGGGGAGGTGATAAAGTGTGGTATACTCATAGAATGGAATACAACTTGCAATAAAAAGGAATGCGCTACTGATTCACTCAACAAAACATGGATGAATCGCAGATACTTCATGCTGAGTAAAAGGAGCCAGATGAAAGGATAGTAAACTTTAGATTCCATATATTTCACAGTGTAAAAATTGCAAACACTAAGAACACATATATACAAAACTGTTGGTATTTTGCTGGGAAATATAGTGTGGGTTTATCGGTGAAGAAGCACAGAAGAGTTTTGTAAATTTCTAGGAGGTATAGGGCAGAGGGATGATAGGACTTTGTCTTATCGTGGTGTTGGCTATGCAACTACATGTATTGTCAAAACTCAAAACTGAGGAACCAGCAATTAGCGTAATGGCTATGTCGCTGGACTCCCACATAGTCGACCGTGGTTCATGTCCCAGACCCGGTGGCTTAAAACTCATGCCAGGTGCGTGTGCATGCATGCCCAAGATCCCAAGAGGAGAATGGACGAGAAGGGATTGCGGCGTGACCATCCCCCCTGGGGGGTGATTTCTTGCTTTCTGTCTCTCTGTCTCTCTCTGTCTGTCTGGCGAGCACACACGCCCTATAGTGAAAAACCTCTCCCCCCCCCAAAAAAAAAAAACCTCAAAACTCTTCTCTTTTTTTTTTTTTTTTTTGATTGTGGCATGGCCATCCCTTTGGGGCGTGATTTCTTGCTTTCTGTCTCTCTGGTGAGCACACGCACCTTGTAGTAAAACATGTCCTTCAGTCAGTGAATAAACTGACACACACCCATATGAAGGAACATTATTCAGTGGTAAAAAGAAATGAACTATCAAGCTATGAAAAGATACAGAGGAACTTTAAATGCATGTTACTAAGTGAAAGAGATCAGCCTGAAAAGATTGTATGCTGCATGATTTAATTATATGACATTTTGGAAAGAGCAAACCTGCAGAGACTGTCCAAAAGATCAGATTAGTGGTTGTTGGGTTTAGGGAGAAGGAGGGATGAACAGGCAGAGCACAGAGGATTTTCACGGCTGCAAAGCTAT